TTTAATACGTGAAAAATTTGCTTTTTGTTATAATTTAAATGTTTGTATGTCATTTATTGTTGCTGTATTTTTTTCTAATTCTTCAATATTTTTTTTTTCATTTCTTAAACATTTTTGCCTTTTCCTGTTCTTGTCATTGATCCTCGACTCATAAGTTGATGGTGCCACGTCTAATATTCTCAACATTTAATAGTTGTGCACTCATACATCCAAATAATTATATATGTATACATGTATGTATGTATGTATGAGCTCTAATACTTGTAGTAAAATGATTTCTTATCAGTGCGTCAAGATCTTGGGTTTAGTTTGTATGTATTTTTTTTTTTGGCTCATAGCTCATCGTGGTAGAGGAATTAAACTCAATTACCCCCTGGCGTGTGCTGAAGAATATTTTCGAAATTCTACATGATTGGTATTTTTTTTTTAATTTAAAAAAAAAATTTTTAATTTTTTTCTACTCTCCACGCCATTTCACTTAGCAGCGCTCGTTTCATTGATTTCGTCTGCATACTTAATGCGATAAGATTTTAATCTACGAAATTCTTGATGCACCAAAAATAAGAAAAAAAAATATTTTAAACTACCTTGTTATTGTTACTGTTTTTGTTGTCATTGTTGTTGCCTTGTAATAACTACATGGGCATTACTTGTAATTTGTTTGAAATGCAGTTAGAGCAGCAGCGGAAAACAACAACATAAATTATAGTTTAGTTATTTTATGCGTGTTACATACTTTCCCTCTTGCTTTTCTCCCTACTCTTCTTTACATTACCTCAACAGCGCTGTTAGTTAGTTTTTTGTAAAAAAAAAAAAAGAAAAAAAAAAAAAAAAAAACTAGTAAGTAAATAAAAATGAAAAAAATATTACTCATGCACAGTTTAGTTTAGTTTCGATTTGACGACCAGCTGCGCATATAAATATATATAAAAAAAAAAAATTTAGTTATATCACATAAAACATTATGTTATTATCGTAAGCATATCTGTTGTTCAGAGCAACGTGTCGTTCTCGAACACGTTTCCCACCTTTTTATTAATCTTTTTCTAAGTTTCAAACCGACACCAAACGCTCGTTTCAGATTAAAATCGCGACAGCGGAAATGAAATTTATTACGAAGAATTAAAAAAAAAGAATGTATCGTTTTCCCATATTTTTCTATATTAAGATTTTATATCTTATATTTTGTAAGATTTTCAAATTTCCCTCAGAAGTGCCGCTGCATTGATTTTTGTATTCTCCTTCTTCGCTTTTCTGATATAAGATATTGGTTGCCCCAAAAGAAACAGGCGATTTTTAAAACGAAAGCAAATGCATTTTTTATACTTAATAAGAAATAACTGAATGATATGATTACCATTTTATTGGATGACCTTTCGCCATCTTTCCGTCAACATATTATTCCCCGCCCATAGAACTTCTGGCCTTTATATGCAAAAATCTGAACCAAGTGCGATTTTAATGCCTCGTCATTCTCGAAAGTTTTAGCATTCAATGAGTTCTGCAAAGGTCGAAGCGAATGGTAGTCTGGCGGTGTAAGGTCAGGGCTATATGTTGGGTGCATCAACAGTTCCCAACCCAACTCTCTCAGTTTTTGGAGAGTGGCCAAAGATGTGTGCAGTCTAGCATTGTCCTGGTGGAATATGCCAGCCTTACGATGGACCAATTCTATCCGCTTTTCGTTGATGGATGTATTCAATTTTTCCAGCTGTTCACAGTAGACATCCGAATTAATAGTTTGGTTCCTTGGAAAACACCAAACTGACAGCATAATCTTCCTTTGGTGAATATCAGCCTTCGAGATGGTTTGGACCATGATCATTTTCGATTGACGTTTTTGTAAAAAAATCCATTTTTCATCTCCAGCTATGATCTGCTTCAAAAAAGGATCATATTCATTGCGCTTAAGATGCATATCACAAGCGTTGAAGCGGCTTTTTAAATGGATTTCTTCCAATTGACGTGGTACCCAAATATCATTTTTTTTTTACCACTCCAAGACCTCGTACAATATATGGTTATGAACGGTTGATTTTGGTATATTTAACTTCTGTTTAATCTCACGCTCAGTTATATATATGACAATATATTTACCATAGTTAGACCATTGCTTGCTCCAGACGTTAGTGTTAAGCCGTAGAGAAAAAACTTATTGTAGGTGATTCCTTATCTATCAAATCAAAACCTTCCTGATCGTCATTCTTGCTTTGGAGACCGTTAGTGTCGGCATACTCTGTAATTTTGGATGTTGGTCAGACCTGAAGTGGATCCTGGACTTCCAAATGTTAGCGCGCAATGCTAACCCCTTGGCTACCGAGGCCGCCAATCACTCGGCTTCACTACTACTCGAAAATAACGCGTTATATAAAGGGTGTTTCTTTTAGACAGGTGATTTTCAAGAAGAAATAAAACGCATATAATTTAGTGTTATAGACAAGAATTTAACTACAAAAGTTACCGCGGCGGTTGGCGTATCTGCGTAGGCAAACTACTTCACTAAATCCCACAAAAATTGTTTAACGGTGTTAAGTCGCACTACTTTGGAGGTCATGCTACAGCCCGCTTCACGAGATAATGAGCCCATCAAAAGTTTCCTTCAATAAATTGACAGAAGTCACCCACATCAACAACATCATCAAGCTGGCAATTCGGTCAGAAAAAAGTAATGAGTCATGGACTTCTAACGCTTCACATTGAACGTAACATTATAGTCGGCTTCAGTTTTGTGCCTCTAGAGCACACCAAACAGTGACTTTTGAATGGCTTGTAGATTATTCTGACTCCAATCTGACGATAATGTGAAAAGTGTGCTTCATTGCTAAAAAAAAAAACATGATCTTGTGAACAACGGGATCTGTGGTCAAATCGCTTTGAGCGCATTCACCGAACGTGTGATGCGTTTTATGGCCATTCGGTTTCAATTCTTGTACGAATTGGCTTTTGTAAGCCCTCAAATCCATATCCTTCTGCAAAATCTCCCGTAAAGTAGGTGGAATAGCGCTCCAACTGTTGCGGTGTATGGCAGATGGACACATTCAAGTATGCTTCGAAACTCTAATAATGCGCACTATCCACTCAGGTTGACACGGGAGTAAAATTGAGCCGTATGCCAGACGATGAAAAGTTCGTTTGCACTACAGTTTTTTCCTTCATATTTACAAGAAGCACGAGTAGACTGAAAATTTCCGGCTCAATCAATAATACACATTTCGGACTCCAACATTCTGGGCATGCTCACAACTTCTTAAAAAATTGAAATTAAAAAAAAAACTTTTCCATTTAATTTTATGCTTTGCGAATGAATTTATTTCAGAGAATAATATTTAATATTTTTCTGAAGTTTTTATTTAACCCAAATAGAAACCTTTTTTCCAAACAAATATATTTAATTACTGAAATAATGAAAATAAATAAATAATTTCAGCTTCAGTTGATTTTTCAAAATTTCCATGAATTCCAAGACCTAATGAATGTAAAAAAGTTAAAGAAAGGAAATTTAGGGCATTTCCCTCAAAAACGTATGTGTGTAAATGTCTATATAACAGGATATTTGCATATATTTACGAACCTTAAACTAAGCATATATTTTTTGATATATATACACGTATGTATATACAGGAATAGGAAGAAAATGGAAGAAAGGGTAACTGCTTATAAAGTTTACGCGAAATCATTCAATAAATACACGGAAATGGCATAGAGATCAAATTTATATATACACACATACATACACAGCGAACACTCATTGCAGTAGCAGCAGCAGCTAGGTATGCATGTATTCGCATATGTGCGTATATGCATTGTTTTAAGGTACCTGGCGGTGCGGATATTGCAAGGCACTTGTACTGGCACTTGCATTTGGTAAATACGCAGCTGCGCAAGTGCAATAGCAACATACGACAATAATGCATGCAAATCCATATACGAGTATACATATATGTACGTACGTGTATGTAAAAAAAAATGTATATATATATATACATGCACACTAAATTAATCTATGTATTTATGAATATGGGTAGTGGTATGTGCGAGTTCTTTAAAGCAGGTAGCATTGCATTTAAGGGATTTTTGAGTATTGTTATTTTCGAAATTATTGCTGTGCGCAGAAACAGTAATTGTGTTTGTGTGTTCTCGAAAGAGATTTAGCGTGTATTATTATGCATGTTGTTTAAATAAATACTTTGCTTGTGTATTTGAGTTTAGTGGCGTTGAGTAAGTGAGCATATAAATTGATATTGAGTAATTTAATTTGTTTTAAAATTTTTTCTAAATTTTTTTACACTTTTTATTATTACATTTTTTTTTATTTTTGAGCCATCTTTTCGCTGTTGTACTTAGCTTTGAGTGTCTTTTGCGACGATTTTTACCTGCATACTCAATTTTTGGCGGCGTTTTGAGCAGTTTTGCGCTTAAATTGAGTTAAATCAGAGATAGTCGTACGTTTCTAACGCAAGCATTTTACGCTTAGCTAGCATAAATTCACTTGTTCAGTGTTAACTTGAGCTGCTCTTGCAGCCTACTATAACTGCTAGTCTCAGAAACACTCTTTTCGGCACTCATCTGCCACCAATCTTGTGTGTGTGTGTGTGTGTGTGTGTGTGTGTGTGTGTGTGCGTGTGTATGTGTGTATGTGTGTGTGTGTAGGAACAATCTCACTCGTCGCTAATGCACTTGTTCGCTCACGCTCTCAGCCGCCAGCTGCTTTGGGTTTTGCCCACTCATTCGTTTGGTGATCTCTTGTGTATATACTTGGTTTATTTAGCTAATGTCTAGGCACTTGGCATTTGCTACTCAACGGTTTAGTTAGTAAACGTGTTCGCTCGTACCAAATCGGCTACTCGATTGCTAGATTACTATAAAAATATATATAGACTATAAATACATACATACATATATATGTGTATATTGTGCATTGTGGTGTCGCTGTAGTACGTCGTCGATTGTTTTTAACCCTTTGACTAACGTTGAGCAATTTCCATGGTTTTGTATCGTTTCAGAGTTGAAAGCGACCATGCGCGCATGGCTTCTACTCCTCGCAGTGCTGGCGACTTTTCAAGCGATCGTTCAAGTTGCTAGCACCGAGGATATAACTTCGAGTTTTATTCAAGCGATATCACCGCAAATTAAAGCAACAACACAGCAGCAACAACAACAACAACAACAACAACAACAATATAAATATCAACAAAAATATTTTGAATTGGAAAATTCACCGCGTGAACCAAAAGTGGCGTTGGCAAATAAACAATTGAGTGCAATTAAAACAGCAATTAGTCCAGTTTATGATATAACACCGTTATCAGTGACAAGAAAAGAAATAGCGGTAAAGCACAATAGCACAATAGAAGGGCGAACAAAAGCAGTGACAATAGAAAAGTCAACAACAGTGATCGCAACGATTATTGAAAAAAATAATAAAAACAGTGATAGTGTTAGTTATAGCAATAAAAACAACAACAACAATAATTATAACAAAAATAATTTAAATAAATCTAGTGTAAAGGATATTGCAGTAAGCAAGCGTAGCGTACAACCAGCAAGCGATTTTGTGGTGAAAGCGCAGCAAACGCAAAGCAATAAACAACATAAAATTCAAAATAAAAATCAAAATCACAACGAAGTGAACGATAAAAGTGACAAGAACGCGAAAAACGCGCTAATAACTGTTTTAAGAACGCAAGAATTACAAAAAATAAACAGCAGTAGCAGCAGCAACAACAACAACAACAACAACTCTAATAAAGTGCAAGAATTAATAGAATTTAACAATAAGAAAAGCGAAGAAAAAATTCTAACAACAAAAAGTACTAACAAGCTCGAAGCGCAAAATAGTGCAGTGCAAAGTAGTGAAAAGTTAGCAGCAGCAGCAGCAGCAGTACCATCGGAAGAAGAAGCAACAACAGAAAAACTATCAGCGAATAAGGTAGAAAATAAAAGCAATAACATGGCTCTTAATGAAAGTGTAACGCCTCAATTACACAGCCAACGGCAACATAGAAATCATAATCAACAACAACAACGACAGCACCATCATCAGCAACACAGGCAAAATAAAAAGAGCCATCATTACCATCATCATCAGCATCAGCAGCAGCAGCAACAGCAACAGGATACTCAACACCATACACATCAGCGTAACCACCAAAACCATCAGCTACACAGAAATACTAACGCTTCCTCCAGCGAACCAGCGACGGAAGCACATTTAGCGACGGCAAAACGTTTAGCAATAGAAACAGCAAAATCTAACGCTGAAGTAATACAAAACTCCCTTCATGAAACGACAAACTCCATAAGTGAGGCTGCGCTCGAAACGCCATCACATCTAGAAGCTGCTGAAAAGTTAGCGTTAGACTCAGCGCCGTTACCAGCGTCGATAACAAGTAAAGCTAATAACGCTAACACCACCGCCGCCACATCCACTGCAACTGCAAGGGCAACTGCTGGCAGCACCACAGCCACCAGTGATAATGCTGATGCCGATGATGATGCTGATGATGTGGATGACAGCGATGAGAATGCTGAAAATAATGAGCCCGCCACATACAGTAATAAAGAGATAATCGGTGATAAACTCAAACCCGATCCATCGACTCTAGTCCAAATTGAGAATAGCCTGTTGTCGCTATTCAACATGAAGAGGCCACCAAAAATTGATCGTTCAAAAATTATTATACCCGAAGCGATGAAACAATTATATGCGCAAATAATGGGTCATGAATTGGATATTGCGAATATACGCCGGCCGAGCATACCATCGAGAACAGCGAATACCGTGAGAAGTTTTACACATATTGGTGAGTGGTGATTTTTTTATTATTATTTTATTAGCATTAAAACTGACTTTGATTTCTAAATTTTGCTTTATGAGTTTTTATTTTTATTTTATTTTTTGTTTATTTTGTTTATTTTTTTTTTTACTTTTACATTACTAGAAGTTTTAAAAATCAGTGAATTTCGTTGAAGAGCTTTCAACAGCAATAAGCAATTCAAATCAATATTTTTCATATTCTCGATTTTTTAATTTTTTTTTAATTCCTTTAATCGGCAAATAAATGAATTCAACCTAAAAACATATAAATATTTTTGTTAATAGACTTATGCAATATTTAAAGTTTCTAATAATTTTACAATTGTCACTACGACTACATTCCGGCAAAAAATTAAAATTTCGATACGTTTACTATCTTTACTTTAGTAGAATAAGTCGGAAAGTAGTACTGTGCTCTCTTAACTTTTTTTGCCTACATTTAATTCTGTTTATAAATACTTATTAATTAAAAAAAAAAGTTTCTTAAAATTGTCTAAGAAATTAAAAAAAAAATGTGCAATATAAAATCCTTTCTAAAATTTCAATTAATTTTAGATTAGGCTGTTTTTTACGGAAATATTAGAAACCAAACATACAAACAAATGTTATTTTCGTTTACTAATTTATAAGAGCGATTTTTTCTATTTTTCTTTAAAAATAATTTTTAGTCATACGTTCTACAAAATTCGTGAGCTCAAGAATAATTATAGTTTCCTAGGCATTAGCTACTAATTTCTTCTATGAGATATATCCGAAATGCCTTAAAATTGAACTGAATACCCATCTCCAAAGATTATAGTTCAGGATTCGCGCTGAAAGTTTTTTAATTCGTCAAATAGCTCGATTTCAGATAGTTCTGAAAGCTTCTTTCCTTTCTAATTACATTAAGAATATTATGAAAACATTAAAGAAAAAAAATTTTATTTAAATATAAAACTAACAAGAAAATAAATTTTTTTTTAAATATAAAACTAACAAGAAAATAAATATGATTTTATAAGAGTGCGGCGCAACAAAAATTATGTATCGGACTCATTGGGTAAAAATGAAGAGTTTTGGCTGAAAAGAAACAAACATATTTCATCCATATCATTTCATATTTTCGAATCCTTGAGGCATGTGGTTTTTAACCTTCTCATCTTAAAGTTAAATTTAGAATTATTTAAATTTCTTAGTAATAGTTATTTGAAACTTTCAATTTCTTTAGTTGCTTTTGGAAACAGTGAAAGAATTTACATTAACTAAGCTCAACTGTATTAAATTTAATTACACTGGTTCATTATTGGAACATTTTTTTTAAATACTAAACAATTCCAGTTTAAACTTATTTTGAAAGCATTTTTATTATTGGTTGAAAAATTTTAATCGAAAATTAAAAAAAATATATTTTTGCATTATTTTCAAGACTTAAAATCCTCACTTTTAACAAAGTGTAAAATATTCTTTAATATATTGTTAAATGAAAATACTTTTTTTTTTAATAAAAATTGAAAAAGTGATAAATTATAATCACAATAAATTGTTATAAAGCATTTTTCATTTAATTTGTTCTTTAAAATAATAATAATGATAATAATAATAATAATATTAATAATAATAATAATAATAATAATAATAATAATAATAATAATAATAATAATAATAATTACAATAATAATAATAATTACGCTAAAAAATTTAATAATTCTTATCTAGTAAATAATTATATTCTAATAGAAAATAAAAATTAAGGGAAATAATTATTTTTAGCATTATTTTTTGTTAATGTGCAGTAAATATTTTCAAAAAGTTTCGCTTGGTTTTCTAAAAAAAAAAACTACTTACATTTTATTTTAAGATTTAACGAAATTCCATAGTCATTTTCCTGAAATTTCTAAAAAATATTTCAGTCATAAATTATATTAAATTTTTCTTGTTAATAAAAACTCATGTAATGCTAGAGCTCTATATGCCCAAGTATTGAACTCGTTCGCTGCCTTACGGTTGAAATGTTTGTTTGAAAATTTAATTTTTCAAATTCTTTTTTAAAATTCAAGTTTCAGGAAAATTTGTTTGCCCTTAATCATACTTCTGTACGCTTCATGACCCTGTTGTTGGCAGAAATAAAGTATTTAGAAAAAACTTCAGGTCATCACTGAGGTTTTCTCGCGAGATGCCGAGATCTTTACAGAACATAAATAGAATTTGATTTCGTTTTTGTATTTATTGCACCTGTCTAAAGGTTGAAAAACAGGTTCCCACCACGATTTTAAGGGGGAGTAGATACTCGTAATCTGGTAATGCCTAGAATAGGTCATAATATATCACCTGCTACTCAATGTTTCAGTAGTCGCATAACAAATCTTCGGAATTTCTGCCCAAACTTTCTTGGTATAATTTTTTCAATAAATACGGAAATTACAAAACGGAAGTTAAAAAAATGTAACAATATAATGTTCACTAAGTACTGACAAGAACTTCAGTAAAAATGAAAATAAAATAAATCATTAAAAATTATTATGTGCATATAAATGTAAAAATTAACCTCAAATGCTTATAATTTTGGTGCAAAAAAATTTAAAAATATCATTTATTTAATGACATTTTTGCTCAAATTTGTTTGATGGCTGTTTTGCTTCAATGACAGGTCCTTGTTTTTTACTAGCGTTTACACCACGATTAAAGTCGAGATAAGATTTCTTCCTTTCGCTCTAGAGTTTGGCCTTCGTTCATCGGATTGTTTTGTAATTTTAGCCGACAAAATAGACTTTGACTTGCTATAAAAATCAGAGTTTTATATTTTGGAAGGGCGCATAGTATAATTAATACATGTATGTAAGTAAATATTTATAGCATTTTGTTAACTCTTAAGAGAGCTCTGTATGAGTCACTTATCTGGTGTCTGTTGTGCCCCTTCATGTTTTTCCTATAAAATGGATCTACAACGTCAAGCCGCCGCCGAACAGCAGATGTCAAAAAGCCATAACTTTCTTTACAGAAATACTTTCGGAAATATTTAGAACATGGGGTTGTTATCCTTATTTTATTTCTTATCCTTATTTTATTTTTTAAATGAATACAAAAATTATTACTTAAGTTTTGGAATTCAAATATATTCAGCTTATCCACCTGTACTGAAATGAAACACCAAAAATGCAAATATACAAATATTTTACTTTTCGAGATTTTTCGTGAATATCAACAGCCTCACACACCAAACGCGGAATTGTTTTGCGCGAAATGACCTTGAAATTCGATACAATAGAAACGCGTTAGGCCACATAAACTCAAGCAAACATGTACATATATATGTATAAATCTATGTGCGCATAAAGCAATAAAACTAAAAATAAAACTGTTGCGCTTCAATAGAAATTTCAAAAAAAAAGAAAAGACAAAAATACACAATTATTACAAAGCATACTTACATACATACATAAGTATGCTGTGCACCTGAGCTCTAAGAGTTGTAAGGCCACAAGCCGAACTAGCAAACGAACGTAGGCTCAGCTCAGTGTTGTGAAAATTACAAAAGATATATATGCACATATGTATGTTATATATGTACTTAAAAGAAACGATAAACGCAAATTACACCAAATACTTGAACTAACATACATATTTAGTTTTGCAAATGTACATACATACACGTATGTACGAGTATGTGAGAACTAGCTGGTCGGCTTCCATGGTTGCTGCAGCAGCATCTTAGCTCAAAACTCAGCGCTTATGTTGTTCTTCTAAACGACCGTTAGTACCACTACACACATACTTACATAGATGTAGATAGCAGTGCATGTGTGTGTGTGTAGCTACATAAGCACCTTCAACAGTAAATTTTCCCATTTACCTGTTTTCGTGGTGCGAAATGCACTAAAGTGCAAGTACATGTTGAAACAAAAATATGATGAAAAGGTACAAATGCTTTGTTAATATGTATATATATATACGTAGGTGTGTTTGTGTGCAGTAGTCACTGCACGATGTCTCTTTCATTTACCGCTTAATGCAAAATCCTTAAAATTCCTATTGTCCTTTCGAGTGTCCATCCTTTGTTTCACGTTCCGGGCACTTGAGAGTTGAAGAGTGTGTTTTCAAAAGGTGTTTGCAACAAATTCCAACAGCGTTTTATGTATGTATAGTATCTTATTTATGCAGTTTCCCGCATAGATTTCAAGTACTGCGAATAATTTGTTATTGTTAATGTCTTTGAACTAAATACTAGTCGTTTGGGCAGCTGTTTACGGGTTGCTGTGTGTAGTGTAAAAGTATCTACTGCACTTTAGTGGATTAATGCTGTGAGAAGCGTAGAAAGAAGTGAAGTCTCGTTTACTTGCAAAATCCAGTGACAGCTTTACATGGGGTCATGGTCGCCACTGGCTTGATACTTCAGCGATGTAGGATCTCACAAATCAGGTTCTGAAAACGCGAACCATCTTAGAATTAATAAATTAGTCTACCAAGAGTATGAACCACATTTTTTCTTGTACTCTACCTCAACATACATAAATACATTCCCCTACTGAGCTAGTTTTGTAAGTTGAGACTTATCATTGAGGTGATGACTTTGAACTCGCAGAGGGCATAACGTCTATTGGGATGGATTAAACTGGTTTTCTTTCAAAATTCCTCCACCATCCGAACTTAGTTCCTAATTTTGGATACAGTTACACCTCTGAAAGGAATAAAAAGATATAGAGCTGCCTAATTAAGTGCTCTCAGATTAAGAGGTAAAAAACCATACATACCGGATTAGTCAGCTTTCCGGGTTGTTTTCAAGTGTAGGCGCAGCCATACTTCTAAAACTTGTAGTTGGACTTCGGCATATTGAGCAAGAGGTTCTCTTCCTGATAAGCATTACTTCCAAGTCGTATACTTTTAGACCTTTTTTAAAGTACGAATCCAACCGTTGAAAGATTTTGACAGCTGTGGAACCTTCACACAAAATTGAATGTGTTTTATTTTCAATGAATTTTTATTTTTTTTTTTATAATTTTCCTTTTTTTTATATCTTTGGCAAATTTAATTTTATCTTCAGAGACTTATCACCAATATCAAATTCTTTTTCTCATTCCTTTTACCTTTTTCTAATTGCAGAAAGTAAAATCGACGATCGATTTCCGCATCATCATCGGTTTCGTTTGTACTTCGATGTGAAGAGCATACCCACCGAAGAGAAGCTGAGAGCTGCCGAGCTACAACTAACACGTGATGCTATTAGCGAAGCGATGCTAAACGAACGTCTCGCTAACCGCGACACCTACCAAGTGCTGGCCTACGATATCACACGAGTCGGTGTGCGCGGCAAGCGTAGTCCAAGCTATCTGCTGTTAGACAATAAATCTGCGCATCTTAATGGCACCGACACCGTACATCTCGATGTTCGACGGGCGGTGGAACGGTGGTTAGCGACACCGCGAAAAAATCACGGTCTGCTGATAGAAGTACGTACCGGTCCAACACTCAAACCTGCGCCACATCATCATGTACGTCTGCGACGGAGCGTCGATGAGCCACACGAAAGTTGGCAACACAAGCAACCGGTGCTGTATGCCTATACCGCTGATGGTAAGCATAAGACTCGTTCAATACGTGATGCGGCGGCGAGTTCAACGCGTTCGAAACGTGCCGGTCATCATCGGCGTGCACATCGTAGGAAAAACAGTGATGAGATTTGTCGACGACATTCATTGTACGTGGACTTTGCCGATGTGGGTTGGAGCGATTGGATTGTAGCGCCACCAGGCTATGATGCATTCTACTGTCAGGGTAAATGTCCCTTCCCACTCGCCGAGCACATGAACTCCACCAATCATGCGGTCGTGCAAACTTTAGTCAATAATCTAAATCCTGGTAAAGTGCCAAAGGCCTGCTGTGTGCCCACCCAATTGGAGGGTATCTCTATGCTCTATCTGAATGACCAGAATACCGTAGTGCTGAAGAACTATCAGGATATGACAGTTGTGGGCTGTGGGTGTCGATAATAAGGACATTACGGCTATTGACGGAGCAGCAGTAGCAGCAGCAGCAGTAAGAGTTAAGAAAGAGTGAGTAAGAACACAAAGAAAAAATGCTCGTGCTCATGACGATAAAAGCCACAGAGTAGCGCCGAAAAACTGCGTTGATATTCGGTAAAACGAACTAGAAAACGAATACATATTGAACCAGAAGCCAAACCAATGTCGTCGATGGTATATCTAAAGTGTACATCGACCATAAAATTGTGTGTTTATTACGACGTGTGCAAGCGCTCGACCTATGCTAACGCAACGAAGAGCCAAAGCAAATTCAATAAGCCGCTGTTGCAGCGATCTAAAGAGTACACAGCGAGAGCACGAGAACACATGACGCTATAGGTGAGCGTAAATTAACAACCGCTAGCCGTACTACTCTTGCTGACCAAAAAGGACAAAAGTCCACCTAAATAGAGAAGTTTCGTACCCACACGCACACGCACCCACGGCGTAGACGCCGAGCACATGCACATCGGGAGCGCAGACAAGAGAGCATTAAATGCTAGGTTTCAAGCCGCTTCACGCTTTAATAAGTTTAAATTTTTATTAAACGAAATGCAAACAAAATGGACTGAATATATGAATTTTAAGTATAAATTTTAGACTTTATTTTTATTAAATAGAGCAAGTAGAAAAACGAAGCTGAGTTGCGTTGAGAGTTAATGGAACTGAGAGTTGCGCCACGCGATCGTCGCAATTGACAGCCAGGCTGCCAAGACGTTTGACAATCACGGCCGACACAATGAACAAAGAGAGAAAGAGAGAGAAATATAACATATACACAGCAAATTCGAACGACAGCAACGCACAGCAGAAGGGACTGCACAAAAGGCGTTAGCCTATGGCGAACCGTCATGCAATAGAGGCGCACAAAGGTTGGGAAAAGGGAGAGGAAGCGAACATGCAAATACAAAGTAAACACGCTTGCAGCGCTGCAATACCAATCGCTCAACAAAGCAAGCGTCGCTAACGTCGCCGCCACCGTCGCACTGACCAACAGCATAGTGTTGCCAACTATGGTGTGCCTTCGACCGCGGGCAACTGCCAGTACACGCGTGCTTCTTTCTGTGCAGACGCAACAGAGCTGATATGTAAAGGAAATTTTGTACAGTAGTTTTAGTGGAAAAAAGTTAATTATTAAATATAAATACACTAATTAATATTAAAAATAATATATAAATTCTTTGTTAATAGTTTGTTTTAGGCTTAATATGTATGTATGTAATGTATTATGTGTAAAGCGCAAAAAATAGTTGTTTTGTATTTTTATTTTTATTATTATTTAAATTTTTTACAAACGAAATGTCCATTATAGATAATAGACAGTAAAATCAAATAGAAAAAAATTAAAGTTAATTTAAAAAAAAAAAAAATTCTATAGAAAAACAGTGGAATTGTTACATACATATACGTATTTCATTCGAATATGACCTATACTACTTATTGCATATGTTTATTTTTATGTAAATGTAAATTTTTAAATTTAAGTTTTTAGCATATTTCTTGGATAATTATGTTTGTATGTACATTGTGTGACGAAAATGTTGATACTATTTTTAAATGAAACAAAAAATTTCTTATACAATTGAATAATTTGTGCAGTGTTTTTTCTACTATAAACATTTACTAACATAACTATATTCATTTGTATGTGTTTGCTATGTTTTTCCTAATTAATTTGCAATCCGTTAAAAACCATATATAAGTATAAAAAATATATATATAAATTTTATTATATATACAAAGTAAATATATTTAGCATCTTTTTATACATATATATAGTACATCAATGTTAAATAAATATATGTAAAATGTGTATGTAGTTTTAAAAATTAATTTCGTTTTTTTGTTTAAGTGGAAAAAATACTGAAAAATGAAAATGAAATGTTTTAAACAAAACTCTAACACATACACACGCGCAAAAGAAAAGAAAAAAGAAAACAACATAAATAAACAAACACACATTTTTATTTATTTATAGTTATAAATTTGAGAAGAAAATGAGAAAAAATCGCAACGAAAAAATAAAATGAAGCAAAAAAATATATAAAACAAAATTTTTATACAAAAAATAAATGCAATTTGTTTTCAATTCACTTACGGTTTATTGGAAATTTTGTTAGAAAACAATTGAAGATGGTGAGTACTTATACATGAAAAACAAAGCACCAAAATAGGTTACAGTTACTAAATTCTTTGAGGCAGATTGTAGCAGCTCTGAGACAAATATCGGATGAATAAGGAATTGGCATAACTTACTCAAATGTTTCATCGAAAGCTAGTTCTGAAATGGTCTTGAAGAGATCCCAAATTAGATGAGTACTGTTAGGAAATTTTACAGCTGGATAAGTGCGTAAATAGAACGTAAATAATCTTAAATTATACTCAAAGTTGTACTGGATATAAAAATAGCATCAAACTTGAAAAGCAATGGTTCGGTAATATTTCTCAGTCGAGAATATACCAAAAAGGGCCAAAAAAAAAGCGGGAAGTAGCGGAGTGAGCCCGATTCATTATTTTGAGGCCTGAATATATGTAGGTGACAACACTTCATTTTATACATTTTTTGCTTTATTTCATATTGTTTTATTTTTAATTTTTATATTCTTTTTTTATTTATTTTTAATTTTTACTTTCTCTTTTTTTATTTATTTTTAATTTTGATTTTCTTTTTTTATTTATTTTAATTTTTCTGTTTTATTGAACTTAACTTCAACTAAATTTTATTTTATTTTCATTAGTTTTTTTTTGTGCTAAAATAAAAAATATTTTTATTTTATTTTTTTTTTTAGTTACTTGTTTTATTTGCTTCAAACAGATTTTTTTTAATACTTAATTTTAATTTAATTCCTTTTTTTAATCTACATAACATTTTATTTTGTTTTGTTTTATTTTATGTTATTTTATTTTTTTGTAATATATTTTATATTATTATAATTTGTTTATTTTATTTTTTTAAAGAGAGCTTTCTTTAAATATTTTTTTAATGTCTTTTTTTATAATATTTTGAAATTACTTTGTTTTTTTTTATTATATTTTATTTTGATTAATTTTATACAATTTATTTAGTATCTTTTAATTTGTTTATTTTTTTTATTATTATTTTACTTTAGCATATTTCGGGTTCTTGTTTTTTTATTTCCTTTTTTGTTCTATTTTATTTTAAAAATATTTTTTTTTTCCTAATTTTATTATATTTTATTTTATTTTATTCATTTTTTTTTATTCAGTCCCTCATTTAATGATTTGGAATTTCCTTCATACTTCATTTCCGGCTCAAAATATTTCTCCTATCGAATTCTCCGCGAGTCATCTTCTCAAGAGCCGAAACCAAGAAAGGCTAACAGAGGAAATCAATTACAAGCATACTTCCATTAACAAATTACAAGACAAAACTGAAAGATAATATATAATTATTACTTACAAGAATGAACAAAAAAATAAATATGAATAAAAATCACTGCAAAGGCAGTAAATACAAAAAAAGGAAGCCAACCGCACTTTGCTTGCGGTTCACTTAAATATTGATATTCAATACACTCGAAAAGATCAATTGATTGTGCGAACAAAGGAGTCCGAAGAATGAAAAGTGCAACCGTTTTAGGTGCTGAAAAAATGCGCCAGGTTGTTGGAGATGACTGCTGGCTGACGAAAGCAGCAGCAGCAACGGTCGAAGGAGCAACTGTAACAGTAACAACAGCAGGTTGCAACGACAGCCGCGCTGGCAGCAGTCACTGGCCATTCATGTGCTCATTCAATAAAAATTATTCAAAAACTCGAGAAGATGACTTTGCGCTAAATCAAGCACTCACTGACGAGTGCATGTACATATATAGCTATCTTCGTGAGTGTTGTAAGATAAAAGATACTCAACAACAACAGCATGAATATCAATAAAAAATATGGATATAAGATGATCTGCGTAATATGTTGGCCCTTCATAAATACGCCGCGCATCAACAGCAAGCGAAATGTGTCAGTAATGGATCGTGATGGCGATTATGAGGGAATATAAGACCAGATGGGCGGAAGAGAAGCATTGATGGTGTATTTTCAATGGACTTTTGACAGATTAATTGGAATACAAGAATATTATAAACAAAAGAATCGATAGAGTAGTAGCCTGTTAAGTGCGCCGGAGAAAATCTAAATTTTTTTTACTTTGGAATCTGTAAAAAACCGACTCAAAACGGCAGCAAGGACCACGCCAGCAAGCGTTTAATGAAACATCTGTATTACTTTTATGAGAACAACAACTCTAAGGCTTTTAGTACTTCCATTGTGTTTGAGACATTTAAGAGCTTCCGTTTCTAAGCAATCCTGACTTACAGTCAAATGATCCACAAGTAGAAAAGAATCACCAAAACTTGTGAGCTCGATTTGACAGGCGAATCTGAAGAAGATTTTCGCGAGATTTTAATTTCTCTTCTTTCATTTTACTTTATTTTATTTTAATTATTATTATTTCATTTTATTTATATTATCTTCTCTCATTTTGTTCATTTGATTTCGCTTTATTTTCTTATTCTTTTATTTTATTTGTTTTTATTTTACTTCATTTTATTTTATACTGTTTAAATTTAATTATTTTTTACTTTATTTTCATTTTTTATTTATTATTTAATATTTTTAATTTAATTCATTTTATTTTTTAAATTTTATTTTGCTTTATTTTTTATTCAATTTTTGTTTAATTTTTTTTATTGTATTGTATTTTATTTTATCGACTCGGACCATTATCTTGCACAAGGAAAGTACGACGCCGATAAGCTGCAATCACAACAGACTGCCGAACGGTTATCTACTCGACTTGCACTCTTGCTCTCTGTGAACACTCATCCGCAATTCGGTGTAAGGGACCTACGGGACGGAATTTCAAGCTCTTTACGTACAGCTGCAAACGAAACTATTGGATTTCGTAAAGGTGTCAACTATAGCTGGTGCGATGAGGACTACAGAGGAGAGCAAACAGACTGCCTACCTCCCAACCTTCCGATTGACCACAACATGTACGGGGTTCGATAGATACCTATACCTAATCGAAAGAGCTTGAAATTCCGTCCCGTAGGTCCCTAGCTCTAGGGATGAAGAGGGAGCAAGAAGCATCTGCAGACAAAAAAAAGAAACAGGCCGAGAGTAGTGGGTATGAAGAGCTTGTGAAGCTGGTCGACAAAGGTAATGCTCGAAAATTCTATGAGAAGATATGACGACTTACGGAAGGTTTCAAGACTGGAGCAGACTCATGTAGGATACAAAGAGGTCAAGGATGGAATCTTTTTCCTACCTGCTGAATAGCAGGAGAAATGGAGAATCCGGAGATGGTGAACCCGAAACCCCAACCGACGGCGATGGAAAAGACGTTCCATTACCGGCGGAAACTGACAGCCTACCGGCAGAACAACACAAAAATGGCGGTGAAGAGCAGACAAGCCTCCGACAGGGTGATTCCTTATCGTGCGACTTTTTCAACTTATTGCTGGAGAAAATAATATGAGCTACAGAGCTGAATAGGGAAGGTACAATCTGAACAAGGGTAAAGACGAAATATCTCCTGTCACCGCACAAGCAGTCATCGCATTCGCGGCTCGGCTCTCACGTCACTGTTGGCAGTCATAACTTTGAGATCGTAGATAATTTCGTCTATATAGGCACCAGCATCAACACCAATAATAATGTCAACCTTAAAATCCAGAGCAGAATCACTCGTGTCAACAGGTGCAATTCTCGACCGGGTAGGCAATTGAAAAGTTA